AATTAAATACATAAATTCAAATAAACAAAATTAAAAATAAATATAAATAAAATATTTTTAAAGAAATAAAAATGATAAAAAGATATATATATATATATATATATATATATATATATATATATATATATATATATATATATATACACATACATTTTCTATGCACATATATTTCTTTTTTGTCTATGAATATAAACCATTCATAAGGATCAATAAGGACAGGGTCTATAACCAGCTTTCGAACCGCCAATCACATCGGCTCTCGCAGTTTCTGCGGCAACCGAACATCCAATCACTGCGTGGCTGCCGTGTTTCCAAGATCACAAGTGTAGTAGGAGGCGTGTGGGTGATGAGGAGAATCAAGGGAGGCAAGAGACATGAAAGAGGAGAAACAAAAAAGAAAGAGAGACAGAAGGAAGGCGCTGATGATAAAGGATGGATGACAGTTCAAACGCATGCAGATGAGGCACGAGAACGCCTCGACTGTGATAAGCCTGCTCGAGGCGAAATATACGAGACCAGCTGAGAGAAACCGCGAGCATGTGAGCGAACGCAAAGGGAGTGTAAGACTGATGCTAAAAAGCTGAAGGCAAACACCACAACGCAATTAGTGGAGAGGCCTTGTCAATTACCCAGAGTCCCATTCTGCTGAAGGACTACTTCTGAATGGGAAGGACGCTCACTGTGTGAAACGTTATTGCACTTAATCCCGGAGTCTATCCCTTCGCTGCAATTAAAAGACTCATTAAGATCTGTAGCAGAGAAATAGTGAAACTGTTGTTTCTTTAAAGTAATTCAAGTAACATGAGACAAAACATTGTCTAATATGGTGTTGGTTCTCAGTAGTTAATTTTGTCAGCTATTTTTTAATTTAGTCAAATGTGTACTTTTTAGTTATCATCAGGGATTCACTGATATGAAAATTTTGGCCGATACCGATAATCGATAATTCTTTATATTTGAAACCCTATAAGCGTTATATCGGCCGATAAATGTAAAAAAAAAATATATATATATATTTTTTGAGAGCCTGATTACAAAAAAAAAGTTTCAACATGTCCCAAGCAAACCATTATAATGATGTTCTCATAATTTTATGTAGCATATATGACAGATTTGAGCTGCACATTTTGCACTGGACTATATTTTCTTTTTTTGATGCAATTCCAATCATATTTCAAAACCACCATGTTGAACAGTGCGCATCTGAAGCGTCTCAGCTGACGGAAATAATACATTATTTATCGGCGAAATTGTCTTACCGGGCCGATAACGATAACATTAAAAATGAATAACATATATCAGCCGATACCGATATGATGGCTGATATATCGCGCATACCTAGTTATCATCATATTCTGTCAACCTTATCCTGTTTTTGTTTAGTCTTAATCAAGTACTTAACTCATCGTATCGAACCGTGACACCACTGTATCGTATCGAACCTGTATTGTATCGAACCGTGACACCACTGTATCGTATCGAACCTGTATCGTATCGAACCGTGACACCACTGTATCATATCGAACCGTGACACCACTGTATCGTATCGTATCGAACCGTGACACCACTGTATCGTATCGAACCGTGACACCACTGTATCGTATCGAACCGTGACACCACTGTATCATATCGAACCTGTATCGTATCGAACCGTGACACCACTGTATCATATCGAACCGTGACACCACTGTATCATATCGAACCGTGACACCACTGTATCATATCGAACCGTGACACCACTGTATCGTATCGTATCGAACCGTGACACCACTGTATCGTATCGAACCGTGACACCACTGTATCATATCGAACCTTGACACCACTGTATCGTATCGAACCGTGACACCACTGTATCATATCGAACCGTGACACCACTGTATCGTATCGTATCGAACCGTGACACCACTGTATCGTATCGAACCGTGACACCACTGTATCATATCGAACCTGTATCGTATCGAACCGTGACACCACTGTATCATATCGAACCTGTATCATATCGAACCTGTATCGTATCGAACCGTGACACCACTGTATCGTATCGAACCGTGACACCACTGTATCGTATCGTATCGAACCGTGACACCACTGTATCGTATCGAACCGTGACACCACTGTATTATATCGAACCTGTATCGTATCGAACCGTGACACCACTGTATCGTATCGAACCTGTATCGTATCGAACCGTGACACCACTGTATCATATCGAACCTGTATCGTATCGAACCGTGACACCACTGTATCGTATCGAACCGTGACACCACTGTATCATATCGAACCTGTATCGTATCGAACCGTGACACCACTGTATCGTATCGAACCGTGACACCACTGTATCGTATCGAACCGTGACACCACTGTATCGTATCGAACCTGTATCGTATCGAACCGTGACACCACTGTATCGTATCGAACCTGTATCGTATCGAACCGTGACACCACTGTATCGTATCGAACCGGTATCGTATCGAACCGTGACACCACTGTATCGTATCGAACCGTGACACCACTGTATCGTATCGAACCGTGACACCACTGTATCGTATCGAACCTGTATCGTATCGAACCGTGACACCACTGTATCGTATCGAACCGTGACACCACTGTATCGTATCGAACCGTGACACCACTGTATCGTATCGAACCGTGACACCACTGTATCGTATCGAACCGTGACACCACTGTATCGTATCGAACCGTGACACCACTGTATCGTATCGAACCTGTATCGTATCGAACCGTGACACCACTGTATCGTATCGAACCTGTATCGTATCGAACCGTGACACCACTGTATCGTATCGAACCTGCATCGTATCGAACCGAACCGTGAATTTTGTGAACCGTTACACCTAGGGCTGCAACAACTAATCGATAAAATCGTTAGTTGGTCTGCTTACGTCACTGGGACCGTTTACTGGTGATTGGTTGAAACAGGCCAATCATGATGCTCTCTGTCTCTGCCGTGCGCGCTCGCTACACGGTTTGGAGCACAGTCTCTTCTGTCTCGCATGCGCGCTCTTGCTTGCGGGAGTTTGAATAAAAATTAAATGAATTATATATTTGAGATGTTTTTACTAGTTTATATCTTCACATCTGAACAACATGTCTGTGTAAATTTGTTTTAACAAAAATTGTGTTAAAATATAATATGTTGGATATTATTTTTTTTACATTAATCATGGTTGTCAACTTGCCATCAGCAATTATTATTTAAAAAAAATGCAAATATTGATATTAGTAAAACTCAATGTGTGGCTTTTGCACTTTTAAAGTACACTTTTACACAAATACCCTGATTTAGGGTTTTATTTAGTTATAATAAACAAAAAAATCAAATTGAATTTGATCCGATTAATCGAAAAAATAATCGCCCGATTAATCGATTACCAAATTAATCGTTAGTTGCAGCCCTAGTTACACCCCTATCATGTGGAGCTATGTCTACCGAGGCGGGTAATACATCATACACAGTATCATATGGCGTGTGTGTTAATGTCGAATTGCCGTAAAGCAGTTCGTGTTTCTCGCTTCTCACGAGACTTCCTATTTCCAACTCACCGGGACGTTAGTCCTCATGTCGCAAGGTTGGTTTTCCGGCTGGGAACGCTCGGCTCGGGGAAAGCCACCATTCTCTCCAGAACAGGTTATTTAACCATCCAAATGATTTCTAAACGGTTTTATTAAGTTGCAATAGTGGCCAAGTTCCCCTTTAAAGTCAATGGCGCAATATTTTTTTGTTATTTAAAGAGTGCGTTAGTAATGTGCGCCTATAGCGTATATTCCAGTTAAGCAGAAATCTCAAATGGATTAATATAAACGAGCTCATCCGCAGTGTAGAGAGAGCGTGCGCGCATGGTTGCCAGATTGCAAATATTAAGTAAAACACAGTAGAAAGCGTGTTCTATTAACAGAAAAGCTCTGATTGGAGGACTCATTTCATTTGCTCCGGATGAATATTGTTGATGTTACAGGGCTTGAATTTCGGCGTGGGATTGCGTGTATTGAGCATAATTTGACTAATTCCCGCACTTTGAGTGTGCGCACAAAATCTGCGTGCACATAAAGAGGTAGCCTGGATGCCAGCCGAGCTTAGCCCCGCCCACAATATTTGACGACGGGAAGTTTGGTCTGGACTTGATCCGTTGTGAAGCAAGTATGCTCGAACCAAAGCTGTTCGGACCAATCAAATTGTCAGGGCGGGCTTTATACGATGATGGACAGATGATCAACAGTAACGTAATCATCCACGTCACCAAAGAGCGCTTGGATTGAATTCGTTTACAACAAAGATGGCCGCCGCTGGAGAACTGAGATGTGTAGATTCAGCCATCGCGTCTGTTATAGAAGATATCGACAGCGCATTCATTTTAAAAGAGGAACAGAGAACCGCGATCAAGGCATTTGTCGATCCAATTGAGTGCGGAGGCATTTTCTTTCCTGGTTCGGTTGAAACACCACATAATCACAGCCCAATGGAGCCGTATCAGACTCACATGCTGACTAAAATCTGAGTATGACGACGTCAGGCTAAAAGAGAGGTATATTGGCTTTATAAAACAGTATAATAGGACCATTTGTCAGGTCTTAAAGCGACAGTAGCCTAATATATCGGCTGCCAAATTATGAGATAATATTAAAAATATCTACATGGCAGTTTTTCTCCATGGTATCGATGCCAAAATTGTGGCCAGTGAAGTCGTGAGTGGCTTGTAACTTTGGAAAACCACTAGCCACTGTGGCTGGTAAGTAAAAAAGTTAATGTCAAATGTGTATATATGAATATTTTTGGAGCTAAATTTGTTTGTAAACCAGTTCAATTACATGAACTGCCCAAATGAACTGACCAAATAAATGTTTTAGGAGAGTGTGTCTGATTATTTGACCACAAAGTTGCATGCAGGCTACGGTCACACTACTGAAAATGTATTACGTAAGAGTTTGTAGTGTCTACTTTTCACTTATAAGTCCAACAAAAGTTCTGCAGTTTGTGGTACCTTGAATGTAATCTTCAATGCATCTGGAACGAAGCCGCCCTCCTCCACCACACACTAAAACCCAGAGAACAAAACAATATCTTGAGATAAAAATGATCAAACGTTCTTGATTTGTATTCAAGTCACAAAAGCGGTGTTTAAGCATTTGTAAGGCTATGAATTATGAGCCAGTAAAACTGTAGTCCTTTATCTCCCTCCTCGAGTCGCATTGCTCCTTTTCTTCAGCTTTTCTGATTTAAAACATCCTCCTGTTGCCTGATGTCGAGCGCTTTAGACTTGCACCTTATCCGTAAATATTCCCGTTGAGGCTCGGGAGAGACATGCAGATGCTGTGGGACCGTATATATTAAACACGGGAAGCTGGTATCAATATGACAAACGCCCCATGGTCCAATTAATTATTGATGGCGAGCTGGAAGCCCATATAACTCCACATGCAGAATAGATGTGGAACAGCCGCCCTATAAAAATAGTTGTAATGGTAAATGAAGACTATGCGAATAATTGGACAAGCTTCAGTGAAGGCTTGTGTTAATCAGTGCAATGGCTAAGATGAACTTTGTATGGATGATGGTTGTAAAAAAATAAATTCAAAAGAAACCATAATTCTCACCCTCTCAGACTAATGACCACTCTTATATTGATGCGTTTGTGAACGTCGACAAACACAATATGAATTAAATGCTCATTAGGAAAACTTAATGGACCGAATTTAATTAGCCTAAGTCATCTTGATGGGTTGTGTACTTTGTGTCATGTTTTTTCCAGAGGCCCAATGAACAGCTGGTATTAACGAATCTTATTTTAGTGTCCGTGACCCTGAGATCATATTTTACCAGGGAGGTAATATGTATGCATTACATATAAACATATGAAGCGGTTATATATATATATATATATATATATATATATATATATATATATATATATATATATATATATATATATTTCAGTAGTACTGGTGTACGAACACCGGTACAATTTCATGGTTCTCTCTCAGTACCAATGTTTATGCCATAGCAAAAACTACTGGAGGACTAATTAAAGTAACCATTTGAAAATAATAAAAATATATAAAATTACTGATGCTAATAACAAATGTATATACACATACCGTACTAAAGTATGGTCAAAATTGGTACCCAGAAGAACCACGAACCAATGAATCAATGGTCCATTCATAACGAGAGTAATTTACCGTATTCCTGAATGAATCAGTGGTTTATCAACAAATCAATTAAGGTTTTAGTTTCTTATTTAGAGTACCATTTCATTTAAAAAAAAACCCAACATAATTTGTCCATATTAATTAAAAACCAATTAGTAGGTATAGTTCGCCCAAAAATGCAAATTCTGTCGTCATTTACTCTCATGGCTTTTGAAGCCTAAAAGTTTCTATTCAATATTTTTTTCTAAAGCTACTTTTTGTAATGTCTATTTGATGGTAATCTCCTTTTAAAAATAATGACTTTTATATAATATTTTGGGGGTAATTTCTCAGCCAAATTTAATGTATGATTAATTAGATAAATGTAATCGCTTGACAGCCCTAATATATGCATATGCGTACATACACACACACACACAGGCTACTGTGGATTTAATAAGGATTAAGGATTATTAGGATCACCTGTTCAATTTCTCATTAATGCAATATCTAATCAACCAATCACATGGCAGTTGCTTCAATGCATTTAGGGGTGTGGTCCTGGTCAAGACAATCTCCTGAACTCCAAACTGAATGTCAGAATGGGAAAGAAAGGTGATTTAAGCAATTTTGAGCGTGGCATGGTTGTTGGTGCCAGACGGGCTGGTCTGAGTATTTCACAATCTGCTCAGTTACTGGGATTTTCACGCACAACCATTTCTAGGGTTTACAAAGAATGGTGTGAAAAGGGAAAAACATCCAGTATGCGGCAGTCCTGTGGGCGAAAATGCCTTGTTGATGCTAGAGGTCAGAGGAGAATGGGCCGACTGATTCAAGCTGATAGAAGAGCAACAGTGACTGAAATAACCACTCGTTACAACCGAGGTATGCAGCAAAGCATTTGTGAAGCCACAACACGCACAACCTTGAGGCGGATGGGCTACAACAGCAGAAGACCCCACCGGGTACCACTCATCTCCACTACAAATAGGAAAAAGAGGCTACAATTTCCAAGAGCTCACCAAAATTGGACAGTTGAAGACTGGAAAAATGTTGCCTGGTCTGATGAGTCTCGATTTCTGTTGAGACATTCAGATGGTAGAGTCAGAATTTGGCGTAAACAGAATGAGAACATGGATCCATCATGCCTTGTTACCACTGTGCAGGCTGGTGGTGGTGGTGTAATGGTGTGAGGGATGTTTTCTTGGCACACTTTAGGCCCCTTAGTGCCAATTGGGCATCGTTTAAATGCCACGGCCTACCTGAGCATTGTTTCTGACCATGTCCATCCCTTTATGGCCACCATGTACCCATCCTCTGATGGCTACTTCCACCATGTCACAAAGCTCTAATCATTTCAAATTGGTTTCTTGAACATGACAATGAGTTCACTGTACTAAAATGGCCCCCACAGTCACCAGATCTCAACCCAATAGAGCATCTTTGGGATGTGGTGGAACGGGAGCTTCGTGCCCTGGATGTGCATCCCACAAATCTCCATCAACTGCAAGATGCTATCCTATCAATATGGGCCAACATTTCTAAAGAATGCTTTCAGCACCTTGTTGAATCAATGTCACGTAGAATTAAGGCAGTTCTGAAGGCAAAAGGGGGTCAAACACAATATTAGTATGGTGTTCCTAATAATCCTTTAGGTGAGTGTATATATATATATATATATATATATATATATATATATATATATATATATACACATTTATTCACACACACAATTGATGTGTTATGCATGTCATCTGAGTGATTAGATAAAAAAAGGCAGATACCAGGCATTAACTAGGCCAGAGATGTGAAGCTAAGCTTAGGTGAATACAAGCACATACAATAAATAAATAAACACCCGCAGGCGTCTCTGCATACGTAATGAATGCTCTGTTCACTTGCTGTTTGAGCAAAGCAAACACCGTTGTCTACATGAAATACATAAAGCCAGATCAGCAGGGAACATTATGATCACCGCATGGATATAACAAAACCCAAGCGAGGCGTCTCTTGCGCTCATCGCATAGTACAACAGGTCTCGTATTTATAGTAAGTCACATGGTGGGGAAAACAAAAAAACTCAATTGCACTTATCTTTGAATCTACTGATTCAGGGCATGGGAGGGAAAGCATCCATGATAATCCATGAAATCTGACTCGCTGATAGCAACCAATCACATTTTGCGTTGTTTATGTGTGGCACTGTTAATCTGTAATGGATAACGGTCACATTAGTAGGCTGACGTCAAACAGGATCATATTGCCCGCTTCAATGCCTGTGCTATCGCGACATCTTCTACTAGCTATTATAAAAAAGCCTTTTTTTAATAAAAAAAAAACAAAAAAACAAATTAACACTATGCTATGCTAGTAGGCTAAGCTGTTAGCTTGCAACCTGAAGGTGAACTGAAAACATAAAAGGGAATCATTTAATTTAACTAGCCTGTAGTAATATAATGAGATGTGATTTACTAATTCACATTTTCATGATTAAAAATAAATACGCTATAATTATCCTCTCATTTGAGGCTCTGATACAAGTGAAATCAAAGAACGAACTGGTGCGACGTCATTTTGAACAAAATCAGGAAAGCAAAGTTTGTTTTAGGATTTATTATAACTTTACTATTATAAAAACTGCCTTATGTGCAACTTAAATGTTTGTACAAATCCGTTGTTAATTTTATCCTGTAATATTATTGTAATGCAAGAGAAAAATTTACATGTAGTCTACCGTTTATTTCCAGATTAGGGCTGACCAGACTAAAATCAACTAGTGGTCACTCATTTAAGCTATTAGTCGACTAATTGCACGTTTATATTATTTAATGACTAAAATATATACTGGGGGGGGGGGGGGATATATAGCCTATTCAACACTGATTATAATGTATATGATGATAATGATTGTGAATGTGTCGGAAAAAATGGCAAGGAGACATTATTTATTTATTTATTTATTTACAAACTAGTGTTTTCCGAGTCTGCACAGATGAAGTTGACGATGAATTGGTTTGTTTAAAAGTAGACTTTATCTCCTATATCTACATAGCTTTGACTGTTAATCAAAGTTAAATCAAACTGTTAATAGTTAAAGGAACCGTATGTAAGAAATGTATTTCAATTAAACATAAAATGGCCCTGATATGTCACTAGACATTAAGAAATCATGTTAATTTCAAATACTTATATCACTGAGAAGAGTAGTCCTGCCAGGATATTGTCATTTAAAAAGTGAAGTTGCAGCCCTCAACTGATGTTGATGTTGTGTTTTTTGGTCTGATGCGCCACCCTTCACCAATCTACCAATCACGACGTCAGTAGTGTTGCGGCATCCGGGTTGCCAGCTCTGCTGTGCAGCTACAAACCATAGACTGTAAAAAAAGATGGACGACGCCCCTTCGCTCTCTTCCATTGGTCAGAACTGAAGCCGCCAGTGTCCCGATACGGCGCTGACATCTTGGATCTTGAGTCTGCGCAGAAGCGATCTCGGGGCCAGACACGCGCAGTCGTGAGCCGGAAGTAAAGCGTGAAATCAAGGCCCCGCCCTCACTCTCGCAGAATCAATCGCAAGCAGCACACGCTCCGGCACTTTTAAAAAATTAATTATAGAAATTTAGATATTAAATTTAAAGCTCCAATCTCCTCAGTCCTCCGAAGATCCCGAAAAAAAGTCTGTTGGTGCTTCAGTGACTACTTCGCTCAGAGAACCTGTCAATCACAGCTGTCAATCATGACGTCACACCACCACCGCATCAAATAACTAACTAAAAACAAACTTATTTTAAAAACAAACACTTGAAATTACATCAGCGTGATAAAAAACTACAGTAAATGACAGAAACCATATTTGGAAAAACGATATTTGAAGTGTAATTTAATTGTTTAGTTGGTCTCACGTGCCGTT